CCCACCAAACCCCTCTCTTTAACTACATCACACTTCTTAACTCCTTCCTAGCCTCCTTTAATTTGCTCATTTATTTTGGCTTTCCTGGAAGCCCTGAGATGCTGGAGGGCAGAGTCAGGCAACCATATCACTAGGCCAAAAGGGGAAAACAGCTGGGGCTTTCTGATTTGTAGCTCTGTTTCATCTCCTTTGAAGGAAAAAAATTTTATAGAACTAAGCAGGAGTAAAATCAGTAAAGCTAATAAAACTCTTATCCATAAACAATAACTCTGAGTAATGAGTGTGCACAGGTAAATACTCAAATCCCTCACTTTCATTTCTAACCTCAGGGCTTTCTTATGCTTAGACTGACAGCTAAGATAAAGCTTAAAACCTAATATACAATATCTTATCTATCTGATATGTTATCAGTTGTGTAACCAACTCCAATCCTTGACAGAGACAACAGGTTCTCCTCACTCTCTTCCTACAAAGAAACACTCTAAGAAAGAGCACCCACTCTAGACTCCAGTCCAGGGCCTAGATTACTCAACCTCTCTGACCTTCCGTTTTCCCTCTTTAAAATAAGAGACTGGATTTCAGGAGTTCTTAAACCTTCTGTGTCATGGATCTTTGGGGAAGTCTGGTGACGCCTACGGAACCCTTCTTAGAATAATTATTTTAAATGAATAAAATAAAATGCACAGGATTACCAAGGAAACCAATAATATTGAAATAGTTATTTAAAAAAATTTTTTTTAAGTTCACAGATCCCAGGTTAAAAAAAAAAACCCAGCAGATGATCTCTAAGGTCCCTTGAATCTCTGATGAGCTATCAAATTATTAATGGAACAATAATTACCAAAAACAATAATTTTCCCTCTCATTCTTGCAGAGATTTTTGCTGATTTTGTTCTCTACATTTCAAATGTATCCTTCCCAGGAAGATCAGTGGGCAGCACGTAGGAATCCTTGGGTAGATCAGTCATTTGTAAAGGGTACTGATTCATTCTAAGCTGTATTGAAACTGCTGTGAGCATCAAATTGCAGGTACCTCACTACCACGGGAGTCCAGCACCGGCCCAGCAAGGAGCTCACTTTGCAAAGCCATCTTTTATATAAGTTTTAAATTACAGTTGGGGTGATGCAAAGCCCTAGAATGAGTGGCAGAACAAGTTTTCATAAGTTTGTCCTGCAACAAACTGGAAAGGTCTCATGCTGACACCCCTATAGTAAGATTTAGCACCATGCTTCATCAGGCACTAAATACTAACACAGGTCCTCCAACATCAGTGGGAACGCTGATTAAAAGTGATGTCAATAATTTATGAAACACAATATGTTCTTCAGATGCTTAGAAGAAGAAAGTGGGGAAAACCCAGAAACCCAGGTGGTGAAAAACTGCTCATGCATTTCCCCTTGGATGTACACCCCCACCATGCATGGATGAATGCAAATGCACACATGTATAAAAGCATGAGAACACACTGATACATATGGGCGGAAGAGAGTATTTAGTTATTCCACTGAGAGCTGTCAGGACTGTAATGTTATATATACATAGTCTTGTCTTTTGCATTGTTTTGAATTATTTCTGGGAAGAAATTCTAAATAGAATTTAAAATAAATCTTGCCTTTCCAAGTGGACATGTTTATACCATAGAGACCTCTACCTTGAAACAGTGCAGAAAAGGAGGCAACTAACATGTACTTTATAACAATATGAAAAATATTGTGGTCCTATTTCAAAAGACTTATTTTATCACATTTGAAAATTTTGAAAATATATTAGTCTTATTTTTGTTCTGATCCACAAAGAAGATGAAAATATTTAATCTTTTTAAAATCGTATTTGATTTTTTTCATAAGGGAAAGATGAACTGCACAGAGGTCAGGGTTAATCTGTACCAAGACAGCTTTCTGGATATTTAAGTCTCATGTCCCTGTGGGTTCTATTCTTTTCTAATTCTTTCTATTCCTTTTGCTCAGGGTATGCATATCCTGGATAAAGTATTTCAAAAGTATGAATTAGTTTCACAAGATTGAATTATGATGAAAAAAAATGTATATCACAAAATTAGTATTGTAAAGATTCGGTTAATACTTCCTCAAGAAGTCACCTGTCACATACTAATTCATTCACATAACTCCATTATAGGTTTTATTGTTTAAGAGTCTTTCATTTCTGTAAAAAGTTCAACCTTTAATTGTAAATTCCTTGAAAATTATTGCATTGGCTTTATCTTTGTAAGATGATGGAACAATCTGCCAGATTCTAACTTATTTTACTATTGAAAATTTACAGTCCCCTCAATATTGGATTTTAATCTACAGAACACCAGAAAATCGACTGAAAGGAATTATACATTGCTTTAATATTGCTGCATTAGCAAGAAGGCAAAATAATTGTAAAGATTTGAAGTTATTTTAGCTATTAAAAATTAGAGAGAAAAAAATCATTACAAATTAGAATAGCTACAATGGATATTTCAAGCTGCATCTACCAAATGCAAACCAAAAAAGCTTTTTTAAAGAAAAAGAAAGTCAAGCTTATTTGGAGTGTGATATGGACAAAAATAATCAGTTATTTTGCTTAACCTTTTTTTGGTTCATTTGTTGCTAATTTAATTAATTAGCTGACTGATCAATGTTGTCAGAACGTTCAATCCAGTCTGTGTGAAGGCACTGCTTTTATGGTGAGGAAAAAAAAACTTTTAAATTACTGAATTTATTTAAGTTCTACTCTCATCATTCAGGCACAGATTATTTCTCCATAGATAAAAAAGCATGTGGAATTCTCTGGCAAATCTCATCAGTAGTGATAGTAGAGAAGGAGCAGCATTCAAACCAATCAAATTTTACTCCAATGCCAGGCTAGTTTAACTAAATTATACACTTCACTTTGTCCGTGGGAGCCCTGCCTATTACAAGACAAAGTGATCTTCCATATATATGTACAAAGTAGAACTATGGACTTGGTAACTCCAATAAAGAGGTTCTAGAAAGACCAAACACGATCAATATTCCGACCCTCAATGGCACGAAAGAAAGAAAAGAAAATGCACATTTCTAAAGACTAGAACTCAAGGAGTGGCAGATCGAAGAAGATCCCAAACCCAAGACACACACATATAGATATTACCTCTGCACAAAATACATACAAAGAATTTCATACCTTTTCTAGTTTTGTCCACCAAAGGAAGAGAGAATGAATACCCATAACTACAAAGGTGTTGTGGATTCTGTGCAAAAATAGATGATCAGCAAACTAAGGAAGGTACAGTTTCCTCAAAACCATCAATCCCAGATCTTGACCTCCAGGCTTTTTTTTTTCCAGGAGATTGCTCAAATGACTGTGTCTACAAGTAATAAAGTACAAACTATTCAACAATGACATGACACAATTAATCAAAACCAGACCCCAAACGTGTGTTCATGGGGACTGAAGAATTCTGTAGTGTGTCTGAGAGAATGCAGACATAATGGGAGACCAGAGACTCAAAAAAAGGGAAGTAAAAAACTGTAAAAGATACACAGTTTGATATAACTTTCAGTCTTGACTCTAATTTTTATTCAACAATTTTTAAAAGATTACATCCCCTGAATAAGAGGCAGGGGAAACTTAAAATATACCTTATATACTACTATTTTACAGATTTGGAAATTGAGGCATGGATATCTGCAGTGAACAAAGATTGTGTGTACCTGTAGAAGTCAGGATATCAATTTGAGTGTCTGACATTAGAAAGAGCCTTTGTTTTAGCTTCAATTTTAGCCTCAAAGTTTTCACAGTCATGAACTTTTGCCAGATTTCTCTTCTCACAGTTGAAACTGTGAGTTTTACTGGTAAGTGAGAAGTTTAGGCCTTGATTATATCAGACCTTAGTAACTTCCCAGAACCCTATTTGTTTTGGTTTGGTTGGAGGAGGGAGCTATATTTTCATTGTCCAGTTGAATTTTCAAAATAATTCCTGAACTCTCTTTTCTGTTGCACTTTGCCTATGTAGACAGTAATTAATCTGAATTTCATCATGTTTCTTCCCTTAATATAAACATACTGCAAACAAAACAAATTTCGTTTTTTAAAGGAAATAGAGCAACCAGCAATGAATTAAAAGGTAATCTGTACCAGGTATAGACCCAACACCGAACTAAAAAAATGTTCTTGACTGTAATTGTTCATAGGATTTACAAACTCCCTCTGATTTCTCACGTGGCAAATGGAATCAAAGGCAAACTTGGTGAGGCCTAGAATTCTTTTCACACACACACCCCGCCCCCCAACCAGAGAGGGGAGTATTCAACCTATTACTCACATGGAGGTTGGCACTGGAAAATATTGATGTGTTCTGATATCAAACCTTTAAAGCCAAATAGACGTAAAAGTAATACAGGCATTTATTGCAATAAGTGAGGGCTCATTAAAATCGGGAATTACTGAATAATTCCTGTGATGGAACCCTTGCCTGACAATGCTTATTTCTCTTCCTTCCTGTCTTTCCTGGGGGTTTTGAGTAGGTTCAAAACTTGGCGGGCACACACACACGTGTCAAGTAAGCTTCAGTGAATTCCGTCCAGTTCCTCTTCTCGTGTCCTAAGGGCCCTAGTTTGGGGTACCCTTAGCCTGCAGGCGTCTGATCCTGACGTCTTTCACCTAACCTACAAATTCTACCTCACCTTGCGCTCCAGAGCTCAGAAGGTAAAGCGCCCCCGGGTGGGAGCGGGAACCGGTCTCAGGGACCAGAAACCTGGGATCTAGATGAAGGCTTCTCGGCTCTAACGCCAAGAGCACAGTCCACTCCATAGATGATTCCTTGCCCCAGACAAGGTGGAGGGCACAGCACTGTTCCCACCCTCTGCACTGGCTCTCCGGCTTCTCGGATTCTAGATGCTCCTCTCACGCCCTCAGTTGGTTTTTGCATCCTAGGTTACCCGACGGCGTCCCTCCACTTTGCTTCTCTCCCATCCCTAACCCAGGCCAGAGCCCCAAAGCTCCTGACAGCAGCCGGCGTACAACTCACCCACGCACTCGTTGGCTTCCCGGGCCGTGGCCCGCTGCCAGGGTCGGTCGTAATGAAATGGCTTGCAGCGGTCGCACTCTGGTCCCGCCGTGTTGTGCTTGCAGTCGCACACTAAGCTGTCGTCGCGGTCGCGCACACAGCGGGCCGCGTGGCCGTTGCACTTGCAGCGGCCGCCCACCTGCAGGTCAGAAACGGCGTAGAAATAAGAGTCCCGCGCCAACTCTGAGTCATCTTCGTTCTCGTCGCCAAAGGTATGCAGCCGATTGAAGGCCACGCGGATGTCTGTGGCAGTGACCCAGTCCTGCAAGACTGGAGAGTTATCGAAATCGTGCGCAGAGGGTCGCCCGTCCAGTGTGCTGAAGGCGATCAGACCACCGGACAGCGGGCGCATGTCTGTGTGTGAGTCGGTGCATACTGCCTCTTGCTCGTTCTGCTTGGTGATGGGAGCCCGATGGGGGCGGTTATACATCTTGCGGCACTGCGTAGAATAGAACTGGAAAGGCACCCAAGTGCGCCCGTAGTCCATGGACTTGTAGATTGCCATGGACTCGGGCCTTGGTGAGCAGAACTGGAGGCTCACGTAGGTAACCTCAAACTTCTTGCCCAGGGAGAGAGTGAGTGTCACGTTGTGCGGGAACTGCAGGTAGTTTTCAGACTGCCAGCAGGTCAGGTTGTGCGGGTTGTTGAGGTCAGTGAGGAAAGTGGGCGGGTGCGCTTTTTTGGGGTCAGAAGCGTTGCAGAGGTGGCAAGAGCGCAGCCGCTCCTCGCCGCGCTCCACCACCACGCAGTAGCGGGCCGGGGGTCGTCCGCAGGTGCTGGACACTTTCACATCCTTGCCGAAAGCCGAGTTAACGAAGTCAGGGATGCAGCGGCGGGGATGCCCGTTTTCGTCAGAGCAGGGGTCAGGCTGTGCCGCCTGGCCCGCGAACATGCTCAGCCCCGGCCCCCCGCGCACCGCTTCCACCAGGCACGCCACGGCCGCCAGAGCTGCCAGCGCCTCCCATACTCTGCGCATCATGCTGCGTCCAGCTTGCCTCAGGCTCGGCCGCCGACTTATCCGCCCACTTCGTAAATCGCCTGCGGAAAGAGAAGAGAGGGAACCCGGGCTCAGTGAGGCAGCAGGGTACCCAGGAACCCCAGGCAGGGAGGTGAAACCAAGCGCCGACCCCAGGGAAAGGGGAACCCGGCGGTCTATAGCTGAGATCCTCCCGCAGATTCACCCTCCGGACCAAGGCAGGAACATTCCCTAAACCGGCCTTCCCAGCCTATTCCAGTTTTGTCAGGATCTTGAGAAGCTAAGTGTCCCCTTTAACCCCGAGGAGCAAAGCCCCCCGAAGCTAGCCGAGGCCCCCTCCCCCACCCCGAAGGCTCTTCAGCCAGAAGTGCGGCGCGGGGGGAAAAAGGTATCGCGCAGCCCCAGCAGCTAGGGGCATCCCTCCTCGGCACCCCGCTATCACGTCCGCGTCTTTGGTCGAGGAACCCGCGCACGGGACTTTACCTTTGTAGAGGGGGCAAAAGAGAAAGAAAAAGTTTGGATGGCTCCGGAATGGGAGCCGCGTCTGTGGCTGCGGTGTGCTTGGAGCCCGCTAGCGGTAGCGTTCTCAGACCGGGTTTGCCGGTTCCATGCCCTGCGCCTCGGCTGCCCTGCCTTTAGCAGTCCCACTCTCCCCGCCGCCTGCTCTGTGAGTGACGCGACCGCCCGGATACCGCCGCTCCCGCCAGAGGTCAGAGTTATGACACTCCCCGCGCCTGTAGCGCAGGCACACACACATACACACACACACACATACACGCGCGCGCGCGCACACATACACACACACATTCACATACACACACTCGCAGCACTGAAGGCTTCGCTGCTGTGGCGGCACGGGGTGGGAGTCGTGGGCGGAGGGAAGAGCGGGGAGGGGAGGGGGCTGAGAGGGAACGACGGGCGGAGCTGGGAGAGCGGGGAGGCGGCCAATTAAACTGTCCCAGAATCTGACTACACTGTTGAAGCAAAGTTTTAAACCCCGGGAAAGAAGAAAGTTATAAGGGAAGGCTGGAGTTTGAAAGAAAGAGTGAAACAGAAACCCAGAGAGAAACAGGATGAGAAAAGCATAGATCTAGAAAGAGAGTCATAAACAAAGGGAAAAATAACAATAACAACAACAAAACCCTAGCTGGAGAGAGCTAGAAGGCGACCCAGGCTGGCAGATGGATTGTTATGCCCTGGATTCTGGGTGTATCTATAGGCGTGTATCCATTTGTATGTTAGATAAATGTGAGATGGATATCCTCAAAGATTTTGCTTGATCCGCAGAGTGCAGGACCTCATGTCATAGGATTTCAAGCTGGAAGTGACAGTAAAAGATCATCTGGCGCAACCTCTTCATTTTACAGATGAAGAAATTTGAGTCTCAGAGGGGCTACATTATTGACCAGTGGTCAACACAGGTCTTTCCAGATTGACAACGGAATGATTTAAAGAAACAAAATGGGGGTGGGGGTGAGAGGGAGTAATGATAATTTTCCTGTTCTTATCTTCAGCACATGTGTTCTCACCTCAGCATCCAATAACAGGGCCAGTGCAACCAGTGCACAAAGCAGGCACTGTTTGATAATGATAATGATTAGGGTTCAAGAACATACCAGCACTCTTTACTCAAGCTGCTGATTTGATGCTCAACTGCTACCCTCCGACCTGTCCCCCGACCCCCACTCCATGCTTGCTGTGTATAATGCCGGTAAAAATGAGGGACATTTTAAGTGTTGCCTCTGTGGGTGTCTGGTTTACAGTGTATTATGTGAGCATGATTGCTGTCTCTTTGAGAGAAAGTAGTATATGAAGAGTGACCAAGGCTGAGCTGTGGTTGTGGGCGAAAGCTAGATCTACAGATGACTGATGTGAGATGTCTGTAGGTAGCAGTATGGGGAAACTGATCTCTAACTCCAATATTCTCTTTCCTGACTCCACAAAGTGTCTGAATAGTAAAGTTGGGATTGTTTTAGGATAGGGAAGCAACTAAGGAGTGAAGATAGTATCTAACCCACCCAGTAAAAGGGCTCTCTTCAACCATCATTTCCCTACTTTCCACTGTTTCCTAAGTATTTATGAGGATTGGGTTCAACAAGTATTCATTAATGGTCTACCATGTGCAAACCACTATGGAAATTGAGCACTGAGACTTAAGGGGTCAAAGGTAAGTTTTGTCCAGAAAGTTTCTCTAAATCAAATAGTAGAGGGGAGTAGGGGTAGAGGAGAGTGAATAATAATAATAATGATAATGATAATTTATGGGACTAAGGACTGGACCTTTGGTTTTATTGGCATGGGAAACTCCCAGTGAAGAAACGCCATCTAATGCAGGTCTACAAAGTCTCTTATGGAGATGCCTAGAGCACTAAGAAGTTAAGTGATTTGTCCCACAGCCACAATGTGTCAAAAATTGAATTTGAACCCAAGTCTTCTTAGTTCTGAGGCGGGCTCTCTATCCATTATGTTAAGATGCCTCTTTTTTTAAAACTGATGTTTTTAGTGTGTTTCGTTGATAAAGTACATTACATACCTTACCTCATTTGAACCTCATTGCATTCAATCCTCATAAAGTAGTGAAGGTATTATTGGACCTGCTTCACGAGTAGTTGCATAAGAATATAGGATTGACAGCAAGTGACAGTGGACTCTCACAGGCCAAGAAAGTTTTTCAGTAAAAGCACTCTCTCGTCAGTGGCTATGTGGTGAAGTGGATACAGCATGTGCCCTGGAGTCAAGAGGACCTGAGTTCACATCCAGCTTGACACCACTTATTAGCTGTGTGACCTTGGGCAAGTCTCTTAACTCCATTGCCAAAAAAAAAAAAAAAGAACTCCTGAGAAGGTAGGAAAAAAAATAGCTGGGGGTACACTGTGCCTCAGAACTCACTGCCCTTCATCCATGTACGTGTGTATGTGTACCTATATGTGCATATGTGTGTAACTAATATTGGAAGATCTGGGTTATAATCATAGGCCCATCCTTTATTCAGCTGTGTGGCTTTCGGCAAATCACCTCAGATCTGTGAGCTTCTATTTCCTTATCTGTGAAGTTGGGAGTTGGAGAGAGAACATATGACATCCAGTGTCCCCTCCAGCTCTAATGTCCTATGGTGATTCAGTGGAGTGAAGACTAGTCTAGCCCCCTTGTGATGCCTTTAGGGATCATAGTATTTCGAACTGGAAGTTCTAATATCATCTAATCTAAGTCCATCCTTTTATAGATGAGGCCTCAGTTCACGTAGTATTAAAACTGTAATCTGAACAAAGAGGTTGCTACTCCAAACACAGAAGTCTTTCCATTACACCATTAACAGAGCTGGCTTAAAGCACATGTTTTTTTTCCTTGCTTTCTTCCAATGAGTCCACTGTGTTCCTTCAGCTGCCTAGCTGGAGGGTTCTAGCACATGGGAATTCTGGTTGGCAATTCTAATCCAGTCTGAGAGGAAGGAGGGTGGCTGTGGCGTAGAGTAAAGTTGTGAATGGCCATGGAAAAATGGTTGTTCGGTAGATGGGGCAATCCCAATCAATCTTGTTGCCTAAAAGGTCAGTTTATTCTTAGAATCATCCAATATAGCCTAAGGAAGGCATTTGTGTACCCTCAGAAAAGATTGAAAATTGTATCCTTGAAAATTTCAAATTGTATTCCTTGTGTATTACTTCCCACCGGAGGTAACTACACTGTAATATGTTTCCTACATGTCATGGAAAGTAGAAATTTCTGGCATTAAAAATATGTGTATTTATAAGAAAGGTAATATTCAAAAATATGCCTCCATAGGTCCAACTATGTATTGCAATCTAGGTGGTTATGACTACCCACCTTACCTACCCTTTGTCAGGTTTTTGCTAGCCTGTTTCATCACCCTTCTGTCCTGCTTCTTTCTCTTTGTTCTTCTCAAAAGGACTGAGAAAAATAATAGCAGCCTCTTGGATATTAAAGATCTCTTAGCAGGGAAGGTAAAGGAAGGGACCTCAGGGGCCATCCACTCCATCCCATATATGAAAAGAACATCCACTATAATGTATCCAACAAGTGGCCATCCAGACTCTGCTTGAAGACCTCCAAGAATCAATGACAATGCCCCCCCCATATACACACACCCATTCCACTTTGGAAGCTCTATTTCATACCTGCACAACTTGGCAATAGGTAGGGGCCAAAACTAAAATAGGCTGAACTTCTTCAGGCTGCAGAGAGGTTTTTAGTGGCTCATTTTCCAAGTAAAAGTACAATTTTTAAAGGTTTTATTAATTTATTTTGAGTTATTAACAATCACTTCTGTAAGCTTTTGAGTTTAAAATTTTTCTCCCCCTCCCTCCCTACCTCCTTCCCCAAGATGGCAAATCTGATATAGGCTATAGATATACATTCCTATTAAACATATTTTCACATTAGTCATGTTGTAAGGAAGAATTAGTACCAATAGGAGGCACCACAAGAAAGAAGAAACAAAACAAAACAGAGGAGAAAAAAAGAGCAAATAGTACGCTTCAATCTGCATTCAAACTCCATAGTTCTTTCTTTGGATGTGGATAGCATTTTCCATCATGAAACTTTTGAAAATGGTAAAGGTATAATTAATGATTAAACTATTTTGCAAATAAAGCATATTTTTAAAAAGGAAATTTCAAATAATATAAATTAATTACACTTCTTACTTAAGATTTTTATTTATCATAAAATCAGTTCTCTCAGACTAGAGACCGACTAACAATGGTTGGTTGCCAAGGATCATGTGACAAACAGGAGAGAGTGAGCAGTGGCAACCCACCCTCCAAGTTACGTGATGGGCACAGTAGTGACTAGTGGAAGGTGGGTTAAGCAGGGCACAGACAAAGCACTCATTACATCTTTACTTTCTTTCACATCCTCTACATTTTTTTCAGGCTGCCCAAAATCTTTTGGCGGGTAGCCCACAGGCCATATGTTGTACAGGCCTGTTCTAATTGTTAGGAAGTTTTTCCTGACAACAAGCCTAATTTGTCCTCTTGGAAACTTCTACCCATTGTTTTTGTTTTTGCTCTCTGGTGACAAACAGAGTAAACCTAATTCCTACTCCACAAGACAGCCCTTTAAATACTGTAAGATAGCTATCAGGACCAATCTGGATCTTCTCTTCTCTGGGCTAAATATCCTAAGTTCCTTCAATCAATCCTCAAATGACATGGTCTTCCATCATGTTGGTTGCCTTCCTTGGGACACCATCCAACTTATCAATGTTCTTAAACTGTGGTACCCAGTAGTAAACACAGTACTTCAGATCATTCAAATTTGATTGGAATGCTTGGAGTAATGGGAAGCTTACTCACAAAGCAGGCCATTTCCTTGCTAGAAGTCTAATTGTTAATAAATCCTTTCTTATATGAAGTAAAAAAAAAACTGCCTCCTTCCGCCAGAGTGAGAGCTGCAGCACAGCACAATTATATTCTTCTTCACATGTGACACCATAATATAACAAAAAAAGCACAAGACTTAGAATTAAAAGACCTGAGTTCAAGTTCTCATTTTGCCACTAACTCAATAAATATCTTTGACTGATGACCAAATCTTTCTTGACTCAGTTTTAAATCTATAAAATTATGGAGTTGAATTAAATAATTTCTAAAATTTATTTCAACTCAAAAAGTCTCTCTCTGGTTTTAAATATTTGAAGCTCTTCTCTTGTCTCAACTGTTTTTTGGATGGTGAAAATGCCTTATTCCAAGAATCAGAATAGGTTCAATTAGTGATACGCTATGTTAAGAAGAAGCGTATATTCATGTGAGAAGATAAACTTTTAGGAAATAGATGCTAGGAAAATCAGTGGAAGCAAAAACAGAAGTAATATTGTCATGGAGAATGACAAGAG